ATATTCTTTGGAAAAATTATTCAGAATGATCCCAACTTTACTCGATCTTTCACAAACAATCTCACCTTTTACTATGATGCAAAATAATTTTAACTTTACTGAAATTTGTGAATTTTGGGTCGCCGTTAAGTTGCTGACGGCGGGTTACTGAAAACGATCTGGTTTGCGCAACAAAATGAAAGTTGAGATTATTTTTGATGAATTTTCATTTTTAAAATTTTTTGAAATTTTCATTTAAATTTTTAATATTATTCTCTACTTCTATCATTTCATTTTCTTTTTTAAAGATTAGTCTTACATTTAAAAAAAATAATAGATATAAAAAATAAAGAAAATGAAAAAAGTAACTAAAACGATACAGAATTAATAAAATAAATAAGGTAATCAATAGAGGCTTACTTGAAATTTGTGAGAAATTAAATTAAAAATATAAGGAGTGGTGGGTTTTAATATTTTAGACACTATACAAAGCATTAATGTACCACTCCTTTTTAAAAAAATTATCTCGAATAGTTCTAATTTTATCGGCTGGCTAGTTCTTTCAAAAAAATGAGTAGTATATAAAGATTCTGTATATTGCTTAAAATAATAAAAACCACCACTCCATATATATTTATTTTATTTATTACCAGTTTCAGTTTAATTTCTATTGATTATCTTATTTATTTCATTAATTTTGTATGATTTCAGTTATATTTCTCATTTTCTTTACTTTTTATGTCTTTTTTTATTTTTTCTAAGGTAAGACTAATCTTTAAAAATAAAAAGGAATGGAGGTAGAAAGTAATTCTAGAAACTTAAATAAAAAATTCAAGAAAAAAATTAATAATAAAACTTCTTCAAAAAATAATCCAAATTTTCATTTTGTTGCGCAAAACAGGTATTTCTGTTGACCCGTCGTTTGTAACTTAATGGCGACCCAAAACTCGCTAATTTTAGTAAAATTGGATTATTATATATGTATCACAGTGAAATGTGAGATTATTTTTGAAAGATCAGGTAAAGTTGAGATTATTTTTAATAATTTTTCAATATTCTTTTATCAAATGATTAGCAAAAACAAAAAAATAAATTAAAGTGAATAAAGTTTGACTCTGTAAATAGTAAATATGCAACTTAATTTGGGACAGAAAGAGTATTTTATATTTCCTTCATTTTGATGAAACTAATTCATTGAAAAATGCACCTTATGTTTTGTTGAACTTTTGATGCTTTCTTTGCTCCTACTAGATTCTAACCCGTGCGATGCACGGTGAGAATTTTATTTTGTAAACAAACGGTATGACCCGTAAAAACAATGTTGTATTATAAATACGACAATTTGTAAACTACCCAATGTATACTAAAATTTGTTATAATGTAGCATATGTACCAATAAATACTGAATGATACTATTAGTTAAACACATATATAATCATAAATATATGTTGCTGCATTCATCAACACATGTGAAACGTGATTCAATGACACTTGGTGATTGTTTATGACAAACACCACGCTCATTTTCTGAATTGAGATATGTTAAATTATAAATGTTAAACAATGTATACCATTTAATTTGTAATTCTAACTTTGAAGTAATATTAATTTCTCCGTCATATTTTTAGTTACATGTAAATATTTACACCGTCAAATTTTAATAAATTTCTTTACTAATTTACATTTTTTTTATAACTCTTGTTTTAAAAATTTTATAAACTCCCTCCGTTCGTGTGTATTTGTCTAATTTTGACTTTTTTCAGTCAAAATTAGTAAACTTTGATCTCAAATTTAAAAAATATATTATATATTAATACAAATATAATTTTTATTAGATTTATTATATCAAATATATTCAAAATATTATTTTATTTTATTAATTAATATTATATTTTTAATTTAAATTTAAATCAAATGTTAAAAATAGTTGATTAAAAAAACTCAAAACAAAACAAACACTAAGATACGGAGTAGTATAAATTATAAAAATTTAAAAGAAGCCCAGAAATCACCTAACCTTCCATACCATGGTAAACCGGCCCACATTTTTGTACCCACCCCATCCAAAATAATAGGCCCAGTCCAATCTCACCCCCTTCATTTTTCCTTCATTTTACAGCCTTCCCTAACCCTCAGCCCCTTCATTTTTCATGCGCCTCTCTCTCTCTCTCTCTCTCTTAGAATGATTTCTTGAATCCAGATTTTATTTTTTTTGTTTCGTTTTTTCCACTACAATCCCATTCAAGTCGTTTGAATTTGGATTTTGCTTTCATTCCTTTTAGAATGAATTTTTCAATTCTTTTTGGATTTTTCTATGTTTATATGTCCTCGGCGTAGACGGATTCTCTTAGAAAATGAGGTCTGCTATCCAGTCTCGAGATCGACATTTGTTTATTCACGATTATATGGCTTTTCATGTATATATTAATATTTTTTGGTATTTTTTCAAGTATTTATATTATTTTTACATTTTTTTGTTTCCGTAGATAGATCTTTATTTTATCTATCAGATCTAAGAACACCCATTACATATAAATATATTTTCAATATATTTTTCGAGTAATCTATATTATTATTTCTGTTTTATATCTTGTTGTATATTTTATTTAATACAACTAAGAAACCCTCATATATGCATGTAACATTTCAGTCTATTTTCAAGTATTTATATTAGTTTTAAATTTTTTGTGTGTCGGTGGATAGATCTTTATTTTATCTATCAGATCTGAGTACATCCATTACAATATAAATCTATTTTCAATATATGTTTCGAGTAATGTTTATTATTATTTACGTATTATACTGCATGTATATTTTTTTTATTACAATTAAAAGTACCCTCATACAAACGTATACATATGTATGTATGTATGTATGTATGTATATGTTGAGGGGTGTTTTTTATTGTTTATGTGTTGTCGAAGTATATACTTTTTTTAAATGGTAAATCTAAGAGTATAATATGTGTTGAGGGGTTTTTTCTGTGAATGAATTTTAGAGACTGAAATCATACGGAAAGAACATATACTTACATATAAATACTTGTTTCTGCAAATACTATTTTTACATATCACACAATGTTTCTGCATTCCAGTTTCCCTTTGTTTTCATTTGTTGGTTTTTTTCTGTGAAGGAACTTAATTGTTTCCGCAGAAAAAAATCAACAAAGGAAAACTGGACTGCAGAAAAAATCCAACAAAGGGGAACTGGACTGCAGAAAAACATCTATATATACAACATATGTAAATGAATTCAGACTTTGTTTCTGCAAATACTTCTCATTCACTCAACACGAAAGTCTCCCCACAGTAAGATGGATGAAATGAAAACTGGACTGTGATTTGGATATTGTGATCTATTTATAACCTAGAAATGAGTGGGAAGTTATTAAGGGGATATTGGGTTGTAGTGGAATATTGCCAATTTAAAAAACTGCTCTCCATTTCACAACGTGGGAAGTTGATGGAGCCTTACCTTTGGGACGTGGGTTATTAATATAAAAATGTTAATATATTATTATTATTGGTATTCTTTTTATTATTTTAATTTATTCGGAAATGTAAAACTGGAAAAACTTTTTTTCAATTTATTCAGTTAAGCCAATTTGTGTAATTGATAAGTTAAAAAAAGCTTTAAAAATTTGTTTTCAAATGGACCTGTAAAATTTTTTTTATTATAAAACTAAATAAATTAAAAAATCGTTTTATCTAAGAATTCAGCATTGTGGAGAATCTTGGAAAGTTAAATATATTTTTCTAATATAAGTAGGCCCATTTCCATAAATGAAATTTAGTTTTACTGTTTCTGGCCCATTTCCGTGAATAAGCCCATATACATAGGCGGGAAAAAAATCCTGCTGCTTTTGTATAGAGAAAGATATCTCTTTCCTATTTTGAAGATAGAGAAATATTTTTGTGTTGAATTTTTAAAAATATTGTTGATGTAATGTGTAAAAATAGAATGTGATAAATAAATCATTAATGAATAAATATAGTGTGATAGATATAATAAGATTAATAGAGAAAAAAGTAATTTTGAGACAAAAAAACGGAGAAAGACTTTTGCCCATTAGTTGGTTGGTGAGAAATAAATAAGTGAGAATAGAAAAAACTATGTTTTGATGAGAAATAAATAAGTGAGAAAATGAAAAACTTATGTGTCAACTACCTAAATTTTTCTCATCACTAATGATGAAAAAATCCTTTTTTCATATCTTTTCATCTTTTACTTCTCTTTTTACACCATTGTTTTTATTAAACTTTTTCTCAAATAATCACTTTCTTTTCTCGCTTTTTAATATACTCCAGTATTTCTTTCTGGATACAGTTTTTTATTGGTTCCAAAATAATCAATTGTTTCCAAATTGAAGCTAACCATTTAATGATGTACTTGATGCTCCCCATATATAAACTTCAAAACGTTTGATTTTTTAGATATAACATCTCACATAAGCAAATATATACATCGTTTGACATCAGCATTAGAGATTAGCGTTAGCGTTTCGAAAATGCTATCTGACAGTAACCTTTAGTGTTGGCGTTTTCAGAATAATCTACTTACACCATTAAATTTTTTATCTAAAACGATAACGCTAATCAAAAATGTTAATTTCAAACAAGACCAAAGTCTATAAAGCTATTTTTTAGTTTTAAAAAAAAAGGATATTTTTTTAATGAATGCACACACACTTTGTTATGCGGAGTATGTAATTAGATCCCAAATAAAAAATTTGTAATATGGAGTACCATTAACTACTCCCTAATAAAACTATAATTTCTCATTTGATTTTTCTTTGTCAAAATTTAACTTCAAATACGCAGCAAAAACACATTATATTTTGATATAAATGTAATATCAATAATATTTTTAGACGAAGTAAAATTTTATAAAAACCTTTTCATACTTAAAAAAGTTATTCCTTTATTTTTTTATAAAATATATTTTTATAAAATTATGCATATTAATTTTGAAAATGTTACACTAGAGACAGCAAAAATTTTAATAAAAAAGAATTAATCTCGAAGGAGAAGTAACATTTATTTGCACTAAAGAAACAATTATTTGATACCGTAAATTTTTAGGGTCGCAAAATAAACACTTCATCTTTTTACTATTGAATGCATGGGGTTGATCCGTACGTTGAACCGTGGCCATCACTGGCGGCGGCGCGTGAACACAACCTTCAAATCGTGCTTCATTTCAAGAAGAATCGAGTCGGAAATCTCAACCGGGCGGTGGGGTTCAACCAGCTCATACCGATAGTGAAGTACCACGGTGGCGGCCACCATCTTCACCACCGTGAGAGCCATCTCCCGGCCGATGCAGGTCCTTGGGCCGGCGTTGAACGCCGGGAACTTGAAAGACGGCTGGTGCTTGATCCCTCCGGCGGGGGAAATCCACCGCTCCGGCTTGAACTCCGAGCAGTCCGAGCCCCACACCGAAGCCATCCTCCCCGTGGAATAAAACGGGATTATTATCTTGGTGTTGGGCTCGACCACGTGGCCGCTCGGGAGCGTATCCCGGGCGACGGGGACTTTGTGGTTCAAGGGTGCGGGCGGGAACAGCCGCAGGGACTCGCAGACGGCGGCGTGGAGGTAAACCAGCTTCTGGCAATCTTCGGAGGTGATAATGACCTTTTTGCCCTCGTCATCTCTTGGAGGGTTAATTTGTTGAAGGATTTCTTGGAGGATCTTTTCTTCGACGGAAGGGTTTTTTGCGAGGAGCCAGAAGAGCCATGTGAGGGTGGAACCTGTTCGCAGTCAATTTGTTAATCTCATTTTCAAAAATACCCTTGGATATGATACGTAAAACTGACTTTTTAATAGGAAATGAGAAAATTTTTTGGGACGGATGAAAAAAGAGAGGACAAAAATTTCGTGGAAGGGAGGGAGAATGTTTATTCCATTGTAATACTTAAATTTTTTTATTTTCTAAATAGTACTTGAATAATATAATGACCAATAATGGTGGACATTTAGTTTGAACAATATCCAATGGTGGTGAATATTTATTTGAATAATGAGCATTAGACATTGAGCAATAGTACTACATTTGAAAATAAAAACATACGGTACTATATATATCTATGTTGTAATACTATTTAAGTAAATTCTGCACATTCTGATACCGCATACCCGGAAATTAAAAATTGCAACATCTTTTGCTTCATTAAAAAGGGAAAGTGTGGCAATGGGATTAAACAAGGAACTGAATATAGCCGTAGTATCAGACCCTGCAATTATCAAGGTGACGAAAGTGTCCCTCAAGAACTTGACACTCTTCCCTTTGTGTGCATTGATGTGAGAAACCAACATGCTGAAGTTGGATTCGTCTTCATCATTTTGCTCAATTTGTTGTTTCCTTTCCATAATAATGGGGTTTAGGAATTGATCTAAGCCCTCCCAAGCTTCACTCAGCCTCTTCTCTCTGTCAACCCCAAACACCCATTTTTGCATCTTCCAACCCCACTCTGGGAGCACGTGTCGGTAGAGTACCGCATTCACAGCTCCCCTTATCGACTCAAGAACCGGGTGGCCCTCGTTGATGAGTTCGAGGCTGCCCGGGTCCTTGTCTAGAAGCTGCATGGACCCGATGTCAAAACTCAACCTTTGAAAAACTTGCTTTAGTCCGAAGGGGGTTCCTAGCTCGACGTGCTTGTCTAGAAGTAGGAAAAGCCCTCGCTCCAGCTTCTCGGAGACGGTTCTCTCTAGGAGAGAGCGAAAGCCGGGATGGCTCATCAGGGGCATCGTCGTCTTTCGGTGAAGCTCCCACAGCTCAGAGTCGGCGTTGATCATCCCTTCCCCGAGAATGTCAAAGATTCTCTGGAAGTGGGGCCCCTTCGGGTAGTTCTTGAAGTTCTTGCAGAGTATGTGGTTGATGTTAGCAGGGTCGCAGGTGACCAACATGTGCATGTTGACAACCCACGGCCCTCTAAACTCAAATGTGCCCCCGTTGTGTACGAGGAGGTCGGTCACGTAGTCGTGGACGCGATCGACGTTTTGAAATAACGCCGGCATCATTCCGATGACCGGCCAGTTTGTGGGAATACGAACACTACTCTTGTTCACGTGGCTCATTTGAGCACTCCATTTCATCCTCCGAAAATAAACCACAAACAAAGTAGCAATGCATATGAGAAGTGCACTCAAAACAAGCACTAATAATGCACCTTCTTGCTCTCTCAGATTAGCCATAATATACTATTATTATTATTATTATTATAATTATTATTACTGATATATATAGCTATTCGTCAATTCCTATATATATGGTCATGTGTATATATATACTCCCCTCTTCCCGAATAAATCCTCTCGCTCTGTTACACACATGTCATAATTTTCATTTTTTACGGAGTAAATTATTTTCATTATTTATTTATTAAAATAACATAGCTAGTGATCCATGTCGATCACCTCTTATTTGATACGTACCCGGACCCGATAACCCGAACCGAAAAATCTGAAACCGAACCCGAACTGACCCGAAAAGTGAAGAACCGAAATAGAATCGAACACCCAAAATAATCCGAACTGAACCGAAACCGAACCGAATGTATTCAGACCCGATTCAGATCCAAATCCGACTTAACCCGAACTAATTAAACCCGAACCGATTAAACCCGAAACCGATTAAACCCGGAACCGGTTAGACCCGAAACCGATTATACCCGAAATTGATCAAATTTATTAATATTTCATTTATCAAATGAACTTGAATTGGAGAAAAAAGAATTACCGATATATTTTTACATATGTTGATGTGTTTCTAAAAAAACATATTTAAATTATAGGTGCAAATCATGCAACTACTTTCATGTACAAATCTTTTACTCCGTATTTTATAACTTAAGTTAAAGTATTTTTGTATTTTATCGTCTTCGAACTTAAAGTTTGATTGACATCGTCTCTTCAAATATATTAGCAAAAAATATTTAAAATAATACATTTGAAGTGTTTTTTTAATACCAACAATTTGGTGATAACTTTTACTTTGTATATTTTAATTTATTATATATTTTTATACTCCCTCCGTTCCTTAAAATCATTCCCATTTTGACTTTGGGCAAAAATAAGGAAAGTGTAATTTTGGTTGACTTTCCAATTTTGCCCTGATGTAATGGGTAAAAATAAGATGTGATAGTTTGGTTATTAGTGAAAAAGTATGATGTGATAAGTAGGGTATGATAAAGTATGGGTAAAAGTGGGTTTTTAATAGAAAGTGGAAGTGTTTTAGGGAATTGAAAAAACGAAAGGGGAAGAGTTTTATGGAACGGATGGAGTATATAGTTATTCAAATACTTGACACAAAAAGCGAAATTGATAGTTAAATAGAAATAGAGGAACTACGAAGTAGAATGTTAACTTAAAATGTCGCGCTGAAAACTTTAGGAGGGAAAACTTTAGAATGGAGTAACAATTAGTCAATTATGTAAGTGTTATTTTTTATGTATGTCCGTGTTAAATAATAAAATAACTACGAAGTATATCATAAATTGACTAAATTTATTATGCGATACTATTGATTTATTAGTATTTAAAATATACATGAAATAATATAAACCTAAACTGATACAAACCTAAATCGATATAAACCCGAACCAATACAAACCCGAACCGGTACAAACCTGAACCGATATAAATCCGATCCGATATAAACCCGACCCGATACAAACCCAAACCAGAATCGAAACCAAACCAGTCAAAATGAAATAAACCCGGAACCGAACTGACCCGAACCGAACCGATCCGAACTGATTATAACATATATCCGAAAGAGACCCGAACCGAAAAGACCCGAACTGGAACCAAACCGATTGACCCAATTGCCAGGTCATTCAAGAGTATTTGACAATTAAAGTTGATTAACTTTGACAATTAATTAATTAAAGTTTATATTACAAGTTAATACAAAAATTATTTTGTTAAATTTATTTTACAAAATATTTTCAAAATAATTTTTATCTAATTAATATACGTTGTAATTTTTATTTAATTAACATGTTTATGTCCTCTCTTATTTTATGAAGAATTTGATGTAGTTTTTTAATTAGTAGATAAATTTATTTTGAAATTTACTATAATTATTTTAAAGTGAAATTTGCACTGAATAGGACTAAAACATAAATCATTTCCCACTGTAGGACTTAAACTTTTTTGTTCCCTAAATAGGAGTTAATAATGACTAGTGAGAAGAATAATGTCCAAATGATGCTGAACATTTAGTTGAATAATGACTAATAAATTATGAACAATGGTCCTACATTGGGAAATAAAAATATATAGTTTTATATTGAGAAAATCATTATGTTATAGTCCTATTTAGATAAATTACCGTTATTAAAATGAATAGGATTGAACATAAATTCAGATAGACACTGAAGTACTTCTTCATTTCAAAATATTTATCTACACGTGGTTTAGGAGTAAGACATGTGTGTGGCAATGGATAAACCACGTATGGCATTTGTATTGATCCCTATAGTACTACGTAGTAGTACGTACGTGCTCAGCTAACCCTAGCTAAGGAAAATTAAATTTTTAATTGTAGATCCCACGTATGGCATTTGTATTTATGCTTTGTACCTATTGTTATTAAAATCAGATCCGATCAAATCAAACCAAATCAGATCATTTTCAATCAGATCAGATCAGATCTAATCAGAACAGATCAGACCAGATCAGACTAAATCTAAACATTATTATTATTATTACTATTATTGCCACTATTATTAGTATTATTATTACTATTACTATTAATATTATGATTATTATTAGTATTTCACTTTTTAGAACATACAATCCCTCTCTAAAAAAAATTCTTCTTTCATTTTCCACTTGTTCCAAAAACCTTTTTTCTTTAAATTAATTGGATCTAACATAACGTATCTCTAACGTATCCTATCAGTAGTCGTCATTATCCTCGAAAAGCAAAAACATGGAATGTTTTTAGGTACAAAGAAAATACTCCATATAGTTATATGTAAACAATGATATTAATGATTAAAGTATTACATTGAAAACTATAAAAAATCAAATGAAAAGAAAGATATAGTTAGAAGTCGTATGCTGGGTTCCATCCCACAACGAAAGAATCAATTAATTAAATTCTATCTCATACAAAGAAAGTTGAAACACTATCCATTGACTTAATTTTTTTGTTTGGAAATGAATCTGAATTTTATATTAGTAAAAAATAGACACACAGTTGAAAGGAAGGTTTAAGGGTGATAGAAACCACAAATTTTACAACGGAGTACAAAAAGTGTTTCAAAAATCGAGTGGCACCTAACTATCACCGTACTAGAACGTTATCGGAACCTTGCCCTAATGCAAAAAGAAACAATGATTAGGCCAAGCACCAATGGACATACTCCGTAATTGGGATAAATCTGCACCAAACCCTAATCCGCCGGGAACGGCATTCCACCTTTGGTGTTAAGCATATTTTAATCATTCCCCATATTGTATTTTGTTTTGTGTTGAAATAAAACGTGGATTAAATTAAGATCTTGAAGGTAAAATAATGTGATGCGAGGCACGGGTGTAAAATTAACTTCGAGGTGCAATTGAAGGGTGTGTGGGTGTGTTCGAGTGGAGCCGGAGTGGAGGATTTACCAGGGATAGAAACCGTAAATTTAATGGGGCACCGGAGCACTCCTGGGTCATTCCATGACATTGATTTTCAAAGTCACGGGAACCGAAGGGTTTAAATAATTACAAAATAAAAATTGAAATGCACAAATGATAAATTTATGTAATTTGTGTCTAAATTGTTAGTATTACTCATCTTATTGCAAGAGAAGTTCTTGGTGTGATAAGGGGAAAGCCAAACGTTAGTATTAAGGCCACCCGCATCAGGCGGAGAACTAAGCTGGAGAAGAAGAAGTCCTCCAGGAGGACTAATTACATCAGATGGAGGAGAGGAGGAGGAGAACTCCTCCGGCGTGATAGCACTACTTCAATTTTAACAATTATTTGGGTACTCCGTAATTTTTACATATAGGATGGATTCAAACTTAATATAAATAATTTAATTTAATTTTTAGCATAATTAAATTAAATTATATATTTTAATTTAATTTTAATCTATAAATAATTTTTAAATATTTTAGCATAATTAAATTAAATATTTTTTGTTGAAATAAATTTAATTAACTTTTTTAATTTTATTAATGAATTACAATTTTATTATCAAAACCATAAAAAATGAAGTACAATTATATTTTTCATTAATTTGTAAATTCATATAATTGTACATAGTATAAATATTTAATAAAAAATCATTTAAGGAGTATAATGAATAATATTTTAGTAATCTTTTTAATGTAAGAGATAAGGAGGAGTAAATGGAGAAGAGAAAGAGGAGTAGTCCCTTCCTTTACTCCACCACCCAATGTGGGTGCTCTAATGGAAAGGGGCCAACGAAATTTAATTGAAGTACCAGGGTTAGTGGTTGTATTTATACTATTTAAGGTGGATTAGGTGCATCGTACATGTGAGAATGTGACTATATTAAACTTTTTTTCTTTTTTGAGTTGTTATAAAGGATATGTGACATGTCTCCATGAATAACAATATAGATAATTTTATATGGGTAATATGCAAATTTCACATCTTATATTTGTAGAATTGTAGAAATATTAATTATTTATATAAAATCATATATATGAAACCATCTGTATTATTTTCACATCTTAAATTTCACATCTTATTCACGATTCATTATCCTCTGTATATATATGAAACCATCCGTATTATTTTCTGTATAGATATAAAATCATATCTCACACTAATAACAATAATACTTTATTTGAGGATGAGAAGAGTATTTCTTTATTATATATACAATAAAATACTATATGTATAAGTTATTTTTTATATTTTCTTACATCCCTTGTATAGTCGCTTTGGAATTACAAATATTTGAATACTCATTTCACACATTTCTTACTTTAGTATTTAGGGCTAATAGCGCTGGTACTCCTCGTGGTTTGCAAAACATGCACCAATACCCCCTCTATTTTCAAAACTCATTTCTAAAGTCCCTGTGGTTTTAAAAAGCTGCACCCTGATCAATTTCCGGCCATTTTTCCGGCGAAGAAGGGGGGCATCGGTGCATATTTTTTAAACCATAGGGAGTATCAGTGCTGATTTTTATTTCTCGCAATTTTTTTTCCATTTTTTCCTTTTTTGTTTCATTTATTAATAAAGGATTTTTAAAAATATTTTTATAATGTTCTTAAAATTTAAATTTATTTTTGTTTGAAAAAATTAACATATAATGCATATGTATGTCTCAAATTAACAAATTTTGTTTTTTCTGAATAAAAAGTAATTTTTTTGAGAACTTCAAAAAAATGAGGAATAAAATAAGAAACAAAATAATACAAAAATAAAAATGAATATCCTTTTCGGACATCTCAATTCTAAGGACTTTTTTAGGCATGTCCAAATTTTTTTTGTATAAGACTTTTTTTCCGTATTTTAATTTTTTCTTTTCGATTTTCCATATTTTATTTTTTTATTCTGGGTTTTTTTTTTTGAAATTTCCAAAAAATTATTCTAAGTAACAAAAAGTGAAAATGTTTAATTTGAAATATATGTAGTAATGTATGTTAATTTTTTATTTCTATTTTTATTTCAAACACAAAGATATAGAAAATATTAAAAAAAGGGAAGAATAATAAACGAAAATAAGAAATGAGCACGAATGCCCCATATGGTTTAGAAATTATGTGTCAATGCCCCCTCTTCGCCGGAAAATGACCGGAAAATGATCAAAGGGGGTGTGGGTGCAACGTTTTGAAACCACGGGGACTTTAGAAATAAGTTTTGAAAACAGAGGGTGTATTTGTGCCAATTTTCCAAACCACGGGGGGCGTCATAGCTATTTGGCCTTAGTATTTATTCAAAGCATTTCATTAATAAAATAATTAATTATATTTAGAGGAATAGTTTTACAAAAACTTTATATATATATATATATATATATATATGTATGTATGTATGTATGTATGTATGTATATTCCGTATAACAAATCTCATAAGATTCATATTTTTTGAAGTGATTTTTTTCAAAATGCAACGTAAAATTGAAAGTTACTTACACATGGATACATATCCTAAAATTTCATTTAAAAAATAGGAAGAAGGACTAAGAGAGGTGCACTACTACAAAAACGACCAAATAAAATAAAATAAAATATTCATGTTTTTATTCTCATAATAAAACCTATATGTAATGCTAATACTTTCCACTAATAGTACTCCCTCCATCCCAAATTAAATTGCATGTTTACTATTCACAAGTTCAAACTTTTGTCACTTTTTTTCTATTTTTGTTAGTTATTTGATAAAATAATCTTTTCATATCACCACTAATTTTATAGATCTTTTGATGTAGTTTTTAAATATATAATTTTTATTTTTTAATTCTACACCATATTTTATACTCCCTCCGTTTGGAAAAACCCTTCCCATTTGATTTGGGGGCAAAAATAAGGAAGTGTTAAATTATTGTTAATTTCCAATTTTGCCCCTGATGTGATGAGTAAAAGTAAGATGTGATGGATAGATTAGTAGAGAAAAAGTATGATGTGATAGGTAGGGTATGAAAAAACAAGGGTAAAAGTGGTTTTTTAATAGAAAGGGGAAGTGTTTTGTTGGAAGTGAAAAAAATGAAAGAGGAAGTGTTTTTGAGAACGGAGGGAGTATAAAACAATTTAAAAATAACTTCAATCAAAAATCATAAACTAAAACAGACGATTTAAATTGGGACGGAGGGAGTACCAAATAAAAGTGTTCAAGAGTACAAGCGTACAACCAAATAAAAGTTTGCACGTTGAATCTTCATATGTCTATCAATTTATGTATTAAATGAGTATTATGTTATTGGTAAATATACATATGCTATAAATATAGTTCGAGTAATGAGCATATACATATAATGAAATTTGTATTAAATAGGACTAAAAACATATAATGTCCAGTGATGGTAGACATTTACTTGAATAATGACTAATGGATAATGAGCAGTGTTCTACATTGAGAAATAAAAACATATGATCCTATATTAAGAAAGTCAGTATGTTTTAGTCCATTTTAGGTAAATTCACCATACATATATTGTACTCCGTGTATTATACTCTATCATATCAAAGATATTTTAGAAAGTCAACACAAAAATAACTCTCCCTTACATTCTCAAAAAGTTAATAAAGGAAGAATTTTAAGAGACGGAAGAGTACATAATTTGAATAGATACTACTCCCTCCGTCCACAAATAAACTTCCCGTTGCGCGTTACGATATTTGACTAAAGTTATTTTTAAATTATTTTATATGAAAAATGGTGTGAAATTTTAAAATAAAAATTACATATTAAAAAATTATATCAAAAGATCTACAAAACTAGAAGTGACATGACTATATTATTTTATCAAATGGGTAACGAAAATAGGCCAACAAAGTTAATATAGTTTGACTCTGTAAATAGTGAACGAGAAATTTATTTGTGGACGGAAGGAGTAAAAAAGATAAATATACGAAATGAGTAACTTCACTTTGAAACTTAGAAATGGGTAGGGAGAAATACGAATATAGCACTTTAATAGGCTTATAATACGCAAAATAGCAGTGCTATAAGTTTTTGAGATGAATTCCCAATATTACCCTTAGTTAAACAAATTTGTATTATATATACACTGCCACAATATATACACTGCCACAATATATCTACACTGCCACAATATATACACTGCCATAATGTTAGCCACAATATGTACTACCAAAAATTTAATGTCTGAAATACACTGCCACAATATATGCACTACAAAAAATTCAATGTCTGAAATACAATGCCACAATATATACACTGCCATAATATATCTACACTGCCACAATTCGGGCAATCACAGAGCATACTTCTCATAGTTTCTAAGAAAATATTTTAGTTTGTTTATGAAGAAAATTAAATAAATATACCTTCTAAAAAGAACAAGGATTCTGAGATTTTTGAGCAAATTCATGCTGATAACGTGTTGTAAAATGAGAGAAAAACTACTCAGAGATTAAGAGAATAGATATAATATAATACACTGCCACAATATATACACTGCCACAATATATCTACACTGCCACAATATATACATTGCCATAATGTTAGCCACAATATGTACTTCCAAAAATTCAATGTCTGAAATACACTGCCACAATATATGCACCGCCAAAAATTCAATATCTGAAATATAATGCCACAATATATACACTGCCACAATATATTTACACTGCCACAATATATCTACACTGCCACAATATAAAGCTTCCATGCGTATCAATATCCCATTAACACGTAGCAATATCGTCAAATTTGGACCCATCTGTGATGCTTCTTTTAAATAATAAAAGAGAAAATATTCAATTAAATTAAATAAAGGAATGAATTCAAAGAATAGACGAATAACCTAATATGCGATGAAAATGCTGGATTTAATGGATGTGGTGAATACAAAAACACATCGTATATATATACATGATAGGCGTTTTAGTCACATTGCAAACTTCAGAATATTAAACAAATACATATTAATCTCACCTTTCTGCATGTGTGCAAGTTTTGGGCCGCCGTTAAAAAACTAACGATCACTAAATAGGATTTTTTTGAAAATACATATTTTTGGAAAATAAATGAAAGGTGGGATTATTTTAGGTAAATTTATTTTTTTAATTTTTTGACATGCAAAATTTTTTTAAGGATAAGAACCAAATTCAGATATTAAGGATTAAGGAAATAAATAAAACTAAAAATGCAGGACAACATTTAGGCATTTAATCTTCACACTGCCTACACCATAGCACATAATCTTAACACTGCCAAAATCACAATGCCTTTCAAAAGACCTAATTTTTCAAAAGGAACAAATACTAGGTATTTCAAAATTGATTTCACACCACCTAATCTTCATGAGTACGAATAAAACACAATAATTAAAACTAAAAATACATGGAAATCCGAATAAAGGGTTGAAGGAATGAAAATTAAAAATTGAAGGAGAAGAGAAAATGATTAGCCACATCGATGAAGGAAGCGGAGATAACCTGATGATTGCCGCTGCTGATCGGCCCAGGAATCGTGGGAGAAGGCCTGAGGACGCATGATGGCGGGCGACTGAAGGAGAACGTGCGGCCGAGCGCAAGAAGAGTACGTGCGGCCTAGGGAGTGCCGTAATTTTTAATGAGAAAAAGAAAAAAAGGTTAAAGGGCATGGTAGGAAAGGATTGACCCCAAAAAAGTGCTAAATTTGTTAAAAACAATGAGTAATGTTAGATGCGTAATTTAGGGTGAGTTAGAGTGATATATAGGGTAATTTCTAAAATGGGTATTGTATGGGAGGAGCTCAGGTGCCACTACCCATAGACTTTTCTATTGCGGAATTACGTGTCTATCAAAAACTCCAACGATACATTATTATTATTATTATTATTATTATTATTATTATTATTATTATTATTATTATTATTATTATTATTATTATTATTATTACTACTACTATTATTATTATTACTATTACTATTATTATTGCATAGATTTGAAACCCTTTGGTTTTTTGGACATGTACTCTTCAAGTTATTCTTGTTACTCATTACATATTCTTATTCGAATCAAATATAAAAACCAAGATCAAATTAAAAAATTAGATCAAATTGGATGAAAAAATCCACACAAGTTTAAGTAAAATTAGAAGAGACCATAGCTAAAATTAGATCAGACTAATAATATGAGATAAAAAGGGATAATATCACAAGATGGTACAATGAAGAAGAGGTTGGGGATGGGTGGGATCACGAAACATGTGGAGTATTAACTACTAAGGGATGAGAGGGTAAAGTAGTAATCTTACCTTTTTTCTCAACAAAAAATAGAAAGAGAAACATAATGTGGGTTTAACCCCGCCGCCCATCACTGGCGGCGCGTGAACACGACCTTCAAGTCGTGCTTCATTTCAAGAAGAATGGAGTCGGAAATCTCAACGGACCGATGGGGTTCGGTCAGCACATACCGGTAGTGAAGTATCACGGTGGCGGCCACCATCTTCACCACCGTGAGAGCCATCTCCCGGCCGATGCAGCTCCTGGGGCCGGCATTGAACGCCGGGAACTTGAAAGACGGCTGGTGCTTGATCCCTCCGGCGGGGGAAATCCACCGCTCCGGCTTGAACACCGAGCAGTCGGAGCCCCACACCGAAGCCATCCTCCCCGTGGAGTAGAATGGAATGATTATCTTGGTGTTTGGCTCGACCACGTGGCCGCTCGGGAGCGTATCCCGGGCCACGGATACTTTGTGGTTCAAGGGTACGGTCGGAAATAGTCTCAGGGATTCGTAGACGGCGGCGAGGAGGTATATCAGTTTCTGGCAATCTTTTGCGGCGACAATGACCTTTTTGCCCTCGTCGTCTCTTGGAGGGTTAATTTGTTGGAGTAGCTCTTGGAGGATCTTTTCTTGGACGATCGGGTTCTTTGTGAGGAGCCAAAAGAGCCATGTGAGTGTTGAACCTGAAATTTGCACAAAATAGTAGTACTCCACTCATCCTTATAAGATTACCACATTTTGACTTTTTTTGGTCAAACTGTAATATCCGCTGACCACGAATTAAATATAGTTTAAATTAATTAAAGGAGAATTTACTTAAATAGCACTAAAACATACTCCGTAATACATTTCTCTAAATAGCATCATATGTAATTTTTCCCAATGTAGCACTTTTAGTCATTATTCAAGAAAATGTTCATCATCACTGGACATTTTTTATCCTTCTGGACATTATTAAGTGCTATTTAGGGAATAAAACAATTTAAGTGCTATTTATGGAACGTAGGTAACATACTGGTAGTATCTGAGCCTGCAACCATGAAGGTCAAGAAAGTGTCTCTCAAGAACTTGTCACTCTTTCCTTTGTGTGCATTCAGGTGAGAACCCAACATGCTGAAGCTGGATTCATCTTCATCATTATCCACACCAAATTGTTCTTCTTCTTGTTGTTGTTTCTTTTGCATAATAATGGGGTTTAGGAATTGATCAAAACATTCCCAAGCTTCACTCAGCCTCTTCTCTCTATCAACCCCAAGCACCCATTTTTGGAACTTCCAACACCACTCTGGGAGCACATGTCTGTATAGAATCGCATTTAAACCAGCCTTTAACGCCTCGCAAACCGGGTGGCTTTCGTTCTCGTCGAGTTCGAGGCTACCCGGGTCCTTGTCTAGAAACTGCATGCACCCGATGTCAAAACCGAACCTTCGGAAAATCTCCTTCAGCCCGAAGGGAGTTCCCAGCTCAATGTGCTTGTCCAGATCAGAACGGGGAAAAGTCCCCGCTCCAGCTTCTCGGAGACCGTTTTCACCAGGAGAGGGGAAAACTCGGGATGGCTCATCAGGGGCATTGTTGTCTTTCGGTGAAGCTCCCACAGCTCGGAGTCGACGTTGATTATTCCGTCCCCTAGAATGTCGAAGATTCTCTGGAAGTGGGGCCCCTTCGGGTAGTTCTTGAAGTTCTTGCAGAGTATGTGGTTGATGTTAGCAGGGTCGCAGGTGACCAACATGTGCATGTTGACAACCCACGGCCCTCTAAACTCAAATGTGCCCCCGTTGTGTACGAGGAGGTCGGTCACGTAGTCGTGGACGCGATCGACGTTTTGAAATAACGCCGGCATCATTCCGATGACCGGCCAGTTTGTGGGAATACGAACACTACTCTTGTTCACGTGGCTCATTTGAGCACTCCATTTCATCCTCCGAAAATAAACCACAAACAAAGTAGCAATGCATATGAGAAGTGCACTCAAAACAAGCACCAATGCACTTTCTTTGATAAGAATAGCCATAATATTTTATTGTGTATTGCTATTCGTATACAATTCCTATATATATGGTCATGTGTGTGTGTATATATATATACTCCTTTCCAGTCGAATTAATTAATGTGAAATTTGCACTAAATAGGATTAAAACATAAGTCATTTCCCAATGTAGGACTTAAACTTTTTTATTCTCTAAATAGGACTTAGTAATGACTAGTGAGAAGAATAATGTCCAAGTGATGCTAGACATCTAGTTGAATAATGACTAATAGATAAGGACCAATGGTCCTACATTGGGAAATAAAAACATATGGTCATATATTGAGAAAGTCATTATGTTTTAGTCTTATTTAGATAAATTATCCTTTTTTATTCTCTTTACTTATTTTCATTATTTATTTGTTAAAATAACATACTCATCAATACTTTAGAATTGAAAATAAATTTAGTCAAAATCCTCTCTTTTCTATACTTTAAAATTGAAAATAAATTTATACCATTATTCAAATAAGTAAGATTGAAAATAAATTTAGTCAAAATCTTCTCTTTTCTATTAAAAACCCTCACATCATACAATTTTACAAATACTTTAAACATCAGATCCTACTTTTACCGTAGTTAACTCAATGTTGTCTTTTATTATTAAAAAACAATATGCCACATGGCAGTCACATAAGAATAAACTTAGAAGTACACCAAAACAAGGTACTCCATTTGTACACCAGGCAAACACAGACAAACACAGACTACTGAATATTTGTCTTCAATTTGGTGGACAAAGTGCAATGCAATTTAAAAAACGGCCTTTTACGGTAGGTGACTGTCTTGTATGGATGATAATAATAGCGGTGCAAAATGATTGGTTTGGGGGTTTAATCAAATGGTGTTGTTCTTCAATTTTCGAAACGTGGGAGTGAAAATGTGAAATGCAAACGTACGTCAGTATTAATGGAAAAGGGCCTCCGGAATATAATTACGCCTCGTAAAGTATGGGTACAAGTTTAGAAGAAAGACCAAAGTAAGATTAATACATTGAATATATATTAAAATAGAATTTACATGTTTTTAATCCCGAAATAGGACTTATATTACCAGAAATGGTCATGTACATTACCAGAAAAGTATAGTAATGTGCACATGTACAGTGCCACATTATCACAATGCAAAGTCCTATTTTTGGAAAAAAACATGAAAGTCTTATTTTGGTACAAGTCTCTATGTTTTAGTCTCATTTAGAGTGATTTCTATACAAGGGTTAGGGGTTGTATTTATCGAGTCGGTCGCATATACTCTCTCCGTCCCTAAATATTTGTCACACTTGTATTCCCGAGATAAAATAACAAGTTTTTTCAATTTATTTTTTACATATTGGTATAGAAATAAAAAAATAAAATTTACATATCAAAAAACTACATGAAAAGTTCTACACTGAAAAAATATTTTATTTTATCAAATAACCAATGAAAACGTAGAATTAAACAAAAGTTCCCGCGACTACTGAAAAAGTAAGTATGGCAAATATTTTGGGACGGAGGGAGTATTTCTTTGCACTTAACTATTTATATCTAAATATTTCCTCCGTTCCAAAACAATTATCACAATTTGAATTTTTTAGTCAAATTGTGACACTATCTGACCATGAATTAAATATAGTTTAAAATAATTAAATATTTTAAAAATTTGATATTTCAAAACTATGTTTTAAAATAAATTTAAATGTACTAAATTTACATTATAACCAAATATATTTTATCCATAATTTGTTGTCAAAGTATTGCACAGTTTGACTGAACAAGTCAAATTGTTACAATCTTTTTGAAACGGAGAGAATATAGAATATAAAATTATGATATTGTAAAATTATGTTTTAAAATTAATTTATCAATATTGAATTTATATTACAATTTGGTAGAATTTTCTGTATTTAATGCTCAAAGTTTTAAAATATTGACTATAAAAATTTAATTAAGAAGAAAGATATGAAAGTATTATTATGTTTGATAAGATACTTCCCCACCTGTCTTAATTTTAATTAATTATTTCAGTTTACGATGTTTGACTGAATTTATTTTTAAATTATTTTATACGAAAAACAGTGTAGAATTTAAAAATAAAAGTTATATATTTAAAAACTACATAAAAGGATCTATAAAACTAGTGATGACATAACTATATAATTTTATTAAATGATTAATAAAAATAAGAAAATAAAAATGAATAAAATTTAACTCTGAGAATAATAAAAATGCAATTTAATTTAAGACGGGTGAAGTATATGTGAGAGTGTAACTAATCTACTCCTACCGTCCTACTTCATATGGGGGGGGCTCACTTGGCCTCACAAGTTGCACAATATCAATATGGAACACGTTGTAATGGTAGGGATACAAATAAATAGGTTGTACCTTAGAATTCATTTAACCATACAATTTTAACTAACATTTCAATCTTATTATTTAAATAAAAATTGTGGTGAAGATGAGTTTGGAGTACAAATAAGGATACATCTTGCCACCTTGGTGTACCGTAAGCATTTTTCATTTCACATTAACTTAAGAATTAAAAGAAATTGAATGCTCATTTTATCTATACTTTTATAATACCATACAATGAAATATATATGTTGTTTTCCATTTTTCATACATCTGTCATATACTCATTTACAAATTACGAATATATGAATATTCATTTCAAAAATTGTTTTATTATAGTATTATTCAAAACATGCATATTACTATATATGAGAAAATTAAATGATTTTACAAAGAATTTTCATACAACTCCCTTCTCAAATTAAGTTTGTTTACTACTCACTAGGTCGAATTCATCCACTTTCTCTCTTTATTTTCATTATTCATTTGATAAAACAATAGTCGTGTCACATATTATTTCGCATAGAATTTTTATGTAGTTTTTTAATAAGTATATTTTATTTTTTAATTTCACTTCAATTCTCAAATAAATTATATTGAAAATAATTTCAGTTAAATATCGTAAATCAAAACAAGTGTTTTAAATTAGGACGGAGGGAGTATAACAAATCTTACAAAATTCAAATCTTTTAAGTAAATTCTTTCTTTTTACAAAATCCAACGTAATATTGAAAATTATTATCACATATATCGTCATCCTAAAATGACAAAATGTCATAAAAATCTAAGGTCTTTCGTTATGATCTTCAAGCCAGTTTCATTTTAAAATGTTTAAACCAATATATTACCTTAATTGTTGTTTAATTGGTGAAATTTTAGAGCATGGGCAGCGGCGGGTAATACCTCAGCCACGCCTGCCACCTCAGCATGTATACTCCTTCAGCGTGGCGAGGCAAAGGCGAGGCAGCTCTTTTTTTTTGCTGATTTTTTTTTGTGCAAGAAAGAATTTTTGTTAAAAAGAGTATATCTATTTTTATGAAAAAAAGATAAGTAAAATAATTTTTAATAATTAATATTTATCAAAAAAGTGTAAAAACAATAACTTACCATTGCATGACATGTCGCTCCTCTTATTTGCCACACGCTGACTAGGTTATATTTGATTAGATGAAATGTACCACAATGAGTGGCATTCAAGCTTTTTACTTGTCATTGTTGATGCTATTAAGATGATTATCTATGCATTAATTGCTTTCTATTATACATTAACCATCAATCAGGTCAGTGGAAGACGACCATCCCAATTCCCATAGTAAACGTTTGAAAAAGTGTCCCAAAATTAAAATCAACGAAAGAATTTTGGACAACAATGCGTCGATGTTTGGGGACCCTCACTCATCTTTGCCTTGGATTTCAGTCACTTCATCACCATCATCGCCATTATTTTTAGATTCACACTCTTCAACCTCCCAAACGCTTTCAAACTTACGTTTTAGGTCTACGTATGGATCATCCCAGACGTCGAGATCCATGCTGGATCTAAACATCAAAGATCTTGCGTGTTTGGAGGAAGAGGGTGAGGGCTAATTAAGAACAAATGAGAGATGGGAATGAGAATAGACAATGAAGACAAGGTTGGGGATAGTTGGGATCATAAAGCATGTGGAGTTAAAAGGATGGAAGGGTAAAGTAGTAATTTTACCTTTTTAAACTAAAAATAGAAAGAGGAATATAATTTAGGGATGACCCGAATAATAATCAACGAAAATAATTTTGGAACATACGGAATAGCACCCTAATACGGAGTAGATTAATACTTCGGTTAATCCAATTAAGAGAAAAACATTAGAAATACAGTAAAGTCAGGGTAACCCCAAATGAGTGACCCCATGCTTTGCATAGACTCGCTTATCGTCTATGCAGTGCACATGATTATTGGTCTAGGTAAAGCACGGGGTCACCCATGTGGAGTTACCTAGCATGGTCCTTAGAAATATACATACCTTATAAGATTTAATTTATCTCAAACCAGGTCATGGTTACTTCACCAATAAGTTTAAAAAGCTATAAATGAATCACCAAAAGAGTTTCACAGTGATCCGCCATATATAGGTAAAAAAATGTACACTTGTCATACAACAACAACTAAAGCCGAATAGAATCCCACGAGCATATAATGTGGAGAGAGTGTGTGTACACAAACTTTACCCCTACTCGAAAGTAGAGAAGCTGTTTCAAGCTACCCATGTCATACATGAATATCAATAGAGCAATAGGTATTTAACTCACTAGTTGAACATAGACAAATTGGTCAAAACATTGGTTTCTAGCCCATTTGGTACAAGTTACTGAAAATGTGAGTGAAATCATTGAACTTGCTTAAGGCTAAATTATCAAAAATTTTCTTGGTAAAATAAACAAAGTTAATGTATAAAATAAAGGTAAGAATTTCTATTTTTATTCACTTCAGCAAACTCCCAACAAGAAGTGTTTTCTACACTAGTTTTCTACATTACCAACTAATGAATTGAGTGTTTGCAAAATGTTTGAAAACTACTCACATTCAAACACAGTAGGAATCTGTTTTTCAACTAATTTTCAGTTCAATTAAATTAGAGATAGTCTGGTTCAACACTCTTGAGTTTATTTATCACTAAGGTCAGTTGAACTCAGATTCAGTTTAGTTCAATAAATTGGTTATCAAAAGAACATACTCTAAGACTATATGTTTGGTTCAAGGGATTTGCTAGGGAAAATGAAAGAAAATGATTTGAAAAACAATTTTTTTTGTTTGGTTTGTAAGAAAAAGAAACTTTAGTCTATGCAACTAATCCGTCGCTCAATTTGTCTCACTCGCTTCTCTCCATTCAATCCCTCTCACTCAACTTCTCCCTCTTATCAACCATTTCTTCTCGCCAAACCTCTTTTCCTTTCCTACACATTTTCCTTTGTTTTCATATTCCTCAAACCAAACATAGTGTAACTATTTAAACAATGAAACAAAAAACCAGTTAGAGGACATAATCCATTTAGTGAACAGGTGATTTTAGTGTCTGTGATTGGGATTACTTGGATCAGACAAGAACCTGAAAAGATGTTGTCAAACAAGTTAGGAGGTGCGGAGTGCGCAGCTGTTCAATGATATTACAAATTCATAGCAGGGTCCGGGGGCATCTGCCCCCTGCCCCGGTAGCGAGGTCCAAGGTGCGGCAGCCCCCAGTGGGGTCCAAGGAGCAAAGGCCCTGACCGGAGGTCCGGTGACTGGAAATCCTTTAGATTTTCGTCAACAGAGTCCATAACCTTACAGATTCAGACATATGGATAAAACGTCAAATTTGACCCTAAAACCGCAGAAAACCATTCGCGCGAACACTCCTAGAATTTTCGTGTCTATCTCTACGCGCGGATGTTCATATTTGATCTCCTATTTTCGACTCTATAAAAAAAGTCTCTCGCTGGTATGGTTAAGTAACGAATTTGAAGTGCTTGTACTTCATTAACGTCTTATCCAATTAAAATATTTTGGTGTATCGCGAAATAACTTTAATTTGAAAGTCTTTACACGATTCGTTAGACTATCTAGTTGTTATTAATGTGTTTCTTTGTTTATCTTTTGTCAATGCTACTTTGCAGTGTTTATCCTCCGAATCAGTTCAACACTTTTGAGCAAAATTAAATGGAGTAACTAACTTCCAACTCAATTAAATTCCTTTTTAGTTAAAGTTCAATTCTGTTCAATAAATTCAAGTCGGAAGAACAGTTCAATTGATCCAAGTGTGTAACCATGGAAGAAGAAGCTCATGAGTAGAGTCAAGGAAAATTACCAAAAAGCTCACAGCACTTGCCTATCAGCAGCATCTGCAACAAGGGGCAATCTGGGAAGTTGGCCCATCAAGCAAGAAGACGACCCGTAGATCAAGCAGACCAAGAGGAAGAAGAAAACAGTGCTGTCGAAGCTCATCATCAGACCCGACCCGAACCCGTCTCCCGGGTCAAAGCTCCGATCCAAAAGATCCGGGACAATCAAGAGCACATCGAGCACAATAGCCTGCATCGTGTTGAACCTCACATACCTGCTGAAGTTCCGGTTACGGACGACGACGAAGTAGAGGGTGAAGAACACAAGAATCCCGTTTATCGGGGTGCTCTTGAACACCCGGATCGCCGGAACCAGAGGCTGAATCAGAGCTTGAACCGCCGGGAACTGGGCCACCACGTGCCTCCCGTACTGGACGCCGTCGAAGAAAGGGTAGAAGTAAGTGATGGCGGAGATCAAACGGTCGGGACCATCCGCCGTGTCGCTGCCCTTGGATTGGGTCCGCGCCGGAACTCCGGCCGGTTTCCTGATCAGTGATATGTACGGGTGGTGTTGCCGGCGAGAAATAACGGTGGGTCTGGGCCAGAACGGTTGGGTTGCGAAGGATGATGATATGAAAAGATCGGATATGGCCATTTCGTTGATTTCTGAAGGAAAGCAAAAATCTTTCCAGACGTGTTTGACAGAGAAGAGGCGAGTATTAGTGGGCCGGGTTGCAAGCAAAACGTTCTTTGTTCCGGTCCGCGTAAGCATGGCCCAAATGATTTGAAACGAATGCTGGACTTGGAATTTTATAGTTTACTCCGTACGAGATAAATAGCCCATTCACTGTCCTAAAAGGTTGTCGAAAGTAAAACTTGGTCGATTTGAAACTATTTTCAATTCATTTGACATGAAAATTAATGTTTAAATCAAATGTAAAAGTTATACTCCCTCCGTCCCGGAGTATTCGTTCAGTTTTGACTTTTGGAACTATTTATCTAAGCACTTTGACTCATCAAATTTTCTCAATGTGTAAGCCTAAATATAGTCATGTGTGATCATGTTTGATATGTCTTAACATATAGATTATTAATATATAATTTCTATAATTTTTAATATACAAATTACAAGATAAAATGGATTAAAGAAGTGTATTGGATGTTGTGTAAAAATGAAAGTGAATAAATACTCTGGAACGGAGGTAGTATATTTCAAAACTATATCTAAAGATATAATAATAAGACGTGACATGATTATATTATTAAATCAAATGAGTACCAAAAATAAGAAATGGAATTGATTATAATTTGACATTGTAAATAGTGAATTATAAAATTTAAGTTGGGGTGTAATTCAATTTATAGCGCTAATATGGAGTAGATGGAGTGCATTTTAATGTTCTAACACTTCACAAAATATGTTTGGAGAAGTGGGAGTGGATGGAGTTAGAATTGTCAAGTGGATGCTATTGTACTTTCAGATTGCTTGTAGGAGTTCAGACTTCATCTTAGTCTAGTTTTATTATTTTGGAGTGCAAATCAATAATGTTATATTTTAGTTCTGTGTGAATTTCTTGTATTTCTCCTAATGGCATTCTTATTGCTCATTCACTCACTAGGTGGGGAGTGACTCCACCTGGTGTTTGGGGATGGGTGGGTTCTTTTTTGGACTTTGTTATTTAAAACTAGTTTTCTCATATATTTATTTGAGTGATAGTTTAATTGAGTAATTTTTATGTTTTAAGTTTTCCAACATGTTTTTAAACATCTTTCAGCTGTTTTCAATTTCTTCCAATATCCAATTTCAGAATTCCAACAAAAAACAACATTCCATTGAACTCGATGACATTGAGTATAGAACATACAGTTCCAAACTCAAATCTATCCAAACTTGTTAAATCAGAACCTTAATAGATGAACTCGAACTAAACTTGACCGACTGATTTATCGGCTTTCCAAATGACACATCAATTTTCAAGATTCAAAAAGGTGGAATGCCTACCCCGGGCACCCCCACACCCCGCCCGACAATATTGTGAAGAGAGTAAATCATGGGATAATATCAATCTGATCGTTAGAGATGTCGCTCTGTGTCCAATGCGCACAAGGAACTATTACAAATAATAAAACTCCCACACTCCAACCTTCATGGGTAATAGCACGGGTGCCCGTGGTTTACAAAAGAGACGTCAAAACCCCTTATATTTTCAAAAAGTTATTAGTAAAATCCAGTGGTTTTTAAATTATGCATAAACGCCTCCTCTTGCATATTTTTAGAAATAAAATGACAATTATGCCCTTTGTTTTTATGTATCTTCAAGTTTTACTCTCTTATTTACATTTTTTATCATACAAATAAATAAAATAAGATATATGCCCTCTTTCACAAATTAAAAATTTTCATTTATTTATTTTTCAAAAAAAATATTTTGTTTAGAAAATGTTACAAAAGAAAATTAAAAATTAAAATTAAAAGAAAATACACTTTTTTACTATAAGTAAAAGTAAAATAAAAAAAGATAACATATACTCACTAAATCTCTAATTAAAAATTCCAACTTATTTGTTTTTTACAAGTAAAATAATTTTTTAAAGACTTTAAAAAATGAAGAATAGAAACATGAAATAAGATATGGAGTACTCCGTAAAAGAAAAAGACTATATTTTATATTTTTCTTTCTTTTCATTAGTTTTTTCAATTATTTTTTTACTTCGTACATAATATTTTATTTTTCATGACTATTTTTATATTTTTTAATTTTTTTAATTAATGTTTTCAATTATTTTTTTTGCTTCGTACATAATAATTTCATTTTTCATTTTCTTTTGTAACATTCTCCAAAAAAAATTTGTTTTCAAAAATACACAATTGAAAATTTTTAATTCGTGATGGGAAGCATATATTTTATTACATATATTTGTATAATAAAGAAAAATAAAACAATGAAAATTCAAGATAGAAGAAAAGAAAGGACATAAATATTATTTTTACTTTAAAAATATGTAAGAAGGGCATTTGTGCTTAATTTACAAACCAAAGAAACTTTATAAATGAATTTTAAAAGTAGAAGGGGTTTTGATGCCTATGATATTAACTAGCCCCCACTTTTCAAGATTCAAAATAGGATCAAACTATTTGTATCCCAATTTGTACATAGAAGATGTGTACCTTCGTTTTGTGTTAGTGTAATGTTAAGATGATAATTTACACTGATGTAAAATATTAGTACAAATTTATTTTAACGCACTAACATTTTGTGTTTATATAAACAATCAAAATATTAGTGTATAACTTTGACACTTAAATATAACTTTGATAACACTTTTTGCATAAGTGTAGCATGATTTTCAAAAGCGGGTCATGCTAGAGTGCCACCACTAGGGGTGGACACGGTACGGTTCCGGTACGGTTCCAGTTTCGGAACCGTCGGTTCCGGAACCGGACCGGTATCGTCGGTGTCGGTACCGAAAATTGGGTACCCGAACCGGTACCGAAGTGGGCGGTACCGGTACCGGTTCCTGGAACCGGAGAGACGGGGCAAGACGGCGTGACGGTGGCGGGTACCGGCGGTATCGTTGCCGGTCACAGTACCGAACCGGTACCGTGTCCACCCCTAGCCACCACATGGGTGCACCCATGCTTCACACAGAAAAACACAGACGATAATTATCTGTGCAACACAGATAGTTATCGTCTGTATTTGTCTATGTGAAGCATTGGTGTACAATAGTACGATGTAACTTAAATACCAGCACTAACCCCTACTGTTTCAAATAAAAGTCCTTGGGCCCCCTTTTCATTAGATTTTAGTCCTGACGTTTATCTTCCACTTTTTATGATTATCATGATAATCATAAATAATACATACGGAGTATATATATATATATATGATAATCACATGTAAACATTAACATAAAATTATCTGTAAATGTCATTCATGAGAATATTTAATTTATGGTAGAGTTTTAGCACTTTTCATTTACTTCCTCCGTCCCACAAAAAATCTCATTTTAACCATAAATTGGTCAAACAATTACACGTTTTGACCATAAATTAAAAATAATCTAAGTAAAGAAATGTTATAAAAATTTGAGATTTCAAAACTAGATCTAAGATGAATCCAATTATATTAAAATTATTTTATAATTCAATATATATTTTTCACAATTTGTAGTGAAAGTATAGAAATGTTTAACTAAATACTATTCAAAATGGGAACTTTTTTGTGGTACGGAGAAAGTACGGAGTATTTGTTAAACAACACTCGTTCTCTTTATGGTATAACTAGTTTGTCGGTGACAAGAAGTATAACCACTTCGGTACTTCCTACTAGTGTTACGTAGACAACTTCATTAATTCTAATCTCATACTTCCTCTGTTCTCAAAAATTTTTCTTTTATTTTTTCTATTTCAAACAAAATATTACACTTTCTATTAAAAAATCATTTTTACTCTACTTTTTCGTATTCCACCAATCACATCATATTTTTTCTAATAATCTAATCATCATATCTTATTTTTATTCATCACATCAAGGGTAAAATACGTAGTCAATTACAATTTAACGCTTCCTTATTTTTACACTTAATCAAACTAGAAATTCTTTTTTAGAACCGAGGGAGTATATCAAAAGTACTTCTTTAAAATTACTTAAAATATCATGCGTTTCTAAAAGATTGTCACGATTTGATAGTTTTGGTTAAATTATGGTAGTTTTTGACCACGGATTAAATATAATTTAAAATAATTAAATATTATAAAAGTTTGATATTTTAAAACTATATTTTAAAATAAATCAAATTTTACTAAATTTATATTATAATTAAATATATTTTTTCCATAATTTGTAGTAAAAGAGTGTCACAATTTAACAAAAAAAATCAATCTATATTAATCTTTCAGGGACAAAGGGAGTATATCCTTTTTGAAACACTAAAACACGTATATTACTCGTATTAAAAGTGAAATAAAAAATCATACTCATATTTTTCAAAACTAACACAAAATATTTCCAAAACAAGAGTTGTCAAATATAAAAAGTGAACAGTATCCTGATTTTTATCACACTCCTATCTCTAAAAAGTTGTCTTAATTTCACTTTTATGTTAATTTTTATTAAAAAATAAATATAATTATAAATAAATAAATAGAAGTAAAAATTTAATATATCAATAGTACATCATAAAACGAACATAATTATATAAAATTTATATTATAATTAATTTTTTTTACAATTTATGATAAGAGTTAGCATAAAAATCAAATTNGACTCCCTACTACCGTATATAAATTGATGAACAGCAAGCTAAGCAATAGAGCAATACACACTAATAAAACATTATGGCTATTCTCAACAAAGAAGAAGAAGGTGCATTATTAGTGCTTGTTTTGAGTGCGCTTCTCATATGCGTTGGTACTTGGTTTTTGGTGTACATTTGGAGGATGAAATGGAGTGCTGCCCAAAGGAGCCAAAACAAGAGTAGTGTTCGTAACCCCATAGACTGGCCGGTCATCGGAATGCTTCCGGCAATAGTTCAAAACGCCGATCGCATCCACAACTACGTGACCGACCTCCTCGTACACAACGGAGGCACGTTTGAGGTCAGAGGGCCGTGGTTTGCCAACATGCACATGTTGGTCACGTGCGACCCGGCAAATATCAACCACATACTCTCCAAGAACTTCAAGAACTACCCGAAGGGGCCCCACTTCCAGAGAATCTTCGAAGTCCTCGGGGAAGGGATGATCAACGCCGACTTCGAGGTTTGGGAGCTCCACAGA